ATATATATATATATATATATATATATATATATATATGTCTCACACCTGAGACGCATCTTCTCATCAAGAGACCTGCCCTTTATAACCAGCTGCCAGACCTTGCTTCAACGCCGCAGTGTTGACCTAGTTTGGTTAGCGACCTGAGCCACGAACCTGAATTATCTTTGCTTTCTTTTGAGAGAGATCTGATTCTAATTCTCTCTTGTTTTTGCCTCACAGGAAACCTGTCTCTACCTGAAGCTCTGGATGAGCTTAACCTGCCGTGATTGCCCTCGTGAGCCAAACCTGAAGATTCCTAAGTGGATTCCCCAGCTGCTCTTGGCTAAGAGCTGGAAACTCTGATCAAGGTCTGCCTTTAAAGTCAGAAGCTAGACGCTGCAGCTGCTCTTGAACTCTGCTGAACAAACAGTCTCTGGACCCAACAGTTCCCTCTCTCTCTCAAAGAGAAACCCGGACTCCATCAAGTTATAATCCTGAATTATCTAAAACTCAAAACTCATCAACCAGCTTCCTAATCAAACTATCATCTCTGCAGACCTCAGGGAACCAGCCTGGACCAGTTCCTGATCCTGTTCATGATTTTGTGTTTTGTGCAATTCAATAAACTCTGTTAAAACTTTCATCAGCCTCCATTGTGTTCTGCATGTGGGCTAAGAACTTAAGACCCATCATGACACCCAGAGCAGTAATTATGCTGAAATTGTTAAAATCTATAAACACTTAGAGCTTAGAATAAAAACCCTATACTATCCAATAGTTTAAGCTATATCTGGGTGAAATTCTGTATAAAATCATCTTTAAGGCACATTTTGCTATCTAATTAATAATCTAAAAATAATCTATAGATTAAGCAACTACCAATTAATCCTGTTTTGTAGCCCTAATTTTGCCCAGAACTCAGCGCCGGTTCGCTCTGCTGTAACAGCAGCTCTGCGTCTCTACCTGACTCTGCAGCTCAGTGGCTTCTTTAGCATGTCGCGTCTCGAGGGTTTCAGACAGCTGGTGGTACAGGCAGCTGCTCGCCTCCTTTCTGCTCACCTCCTTGTATTTAGCCTGAAGAAATCAATCAAAAAAGCTGATAAAATTCCAGCTTTGGCACCTAAACATGATTGTAAGGCTGTTTATACTAAATAGCAAAACATCAAATTACTTTTACCTCACTTTGCAGCTCAGAGACAGTTTTAGCGAAGGTAGTCTCAGTGGTTTCAGGCAGCTGAGAATAAAGGCTATGGGAGAGGCTCTTCAAACCATCCTCTTTATATTTATTCTGCAGGAAAGGAGAAAAAGATGATGGAGCAGAAAGCTGAAATAGAAACCAAATTTAATGGGATAAAGGTTGCGTCAGAGCGCCTTGATGCTGTTGGAGAGATGATCTAAGCAGCAAACATCCCGCTGCAGAGCCACTTCCTGGTATTTTACCTCACTCAGCAGGTCAGACACTTTGGCGGCGAGCTCCGTCTCTGCAGTCTGAGGCAGCTGAGCGTACAAACTACACGACATAGACTTCTTCCCACCCTCCTTGTACTTGTTCTGAAAGGAAGCAGAGGTTCAGCAGCTGAGTCCTCACTAAACTGATCTATTCATCCAGATTGTTTCTGGATTAAAGGAATCAGGGTTCTGATTTGTTATGATGTATGTTATAGATTTTATTATTTAGAGTGGCATTCCTCAGGGCTTTGTATTTGGGACTGAATTATAGTTGAACACTTTTACCTAAAGTACATAAAAAATGTATTCTCTAAATATTATAACCTAAAAGAGAAGTATATTTGCAATAAATCATCATAAGTTTGTGAAATGGAGCCTAGGAGGAAGTTCAGCCAAATAAATTGATTACTCGCCTTCATCCGCCTGCGACACAGCCAATCAGCTTTGAACCACGCCTCTACGAAAGCCAATCAACATCCAAAGTTCATCTTAAAAGGCCTCTGATCCGCAAATGGATCTCCCCATAAAGCTCAGCAGACCGTCTCTCTAACCAGCAGTCTATAGACTGACCAACTTCATCTATCTCCACTCCACCACCAGTTTAAGGCCTAGAGGCAGGCAGGGACTGGTGATCTGTGATTCCAGGCATTTGCTCGGTGGGCCGGTCCTAATCTCAGCATTCGAGGGCCGGCCCTCCTTAAATCATACCGGCCCCAACACTTACACTCCGGCCGAAGCTCCTACCTGTGACAGTAAATAACTCAAGGAGCTGAAGAACTAATCCAATGTTAACTACCTGTATGATGCATGCAGTATATATAGCCCTTCCTTATCATGCACATCTTTGTGACGGTTTGCATATGGTGTAATTTTCTATTTCTTCAAACTGTAAAATCCTTGCACCAAACTAAATCATAATAAAAACTAAAAATCTTTCTTTAAACCAAACTAGGATGTTCCTCTTACATTTGGCGAATTTAAGTTTGAATATTTTACAAAAATATGTTGCGGTGCATGATGGGGTTTAGCATGCATTGTTAGGCATCCATAAGTGGATACCTAACAATCCCCCTGCCTGAGGGAAACATCCCTATCCTTTAATACTGTTCCTGCATATCAATCATAATTCAGTGCTATGTTTCCTGCCGAGGTCTGAGCGCCAAAGCCTAAAGTAATTGTATCAGTTAATTTCTTCTAATTGTCCTTTCTCTCCATATGAGATTTTCCAATTGCAATGGCTGTTAACACGCAGCTTGATTTAATTACGTAATTGTTTTTTTTTAATCGTACAGAAGGAATTTCATACCAGAGGTGGAAACAGAATTATAAACAATTACAACATCAAGATCCACTAAACAATCTTAAAGAAGCAGACTTCTTATCACTACACTCACAGGAAGTTTAAGCTGAAGGCTTTTTGTGTTTTTCTGCAACTAAACAGATAAAAATCAGAATGTTGCGGATCACTTTGTGGCTGCAAACAAATGTTCTGCTCTGAGCTTGATTCAGCCAAAGGGTGTCGTCATCGTCTCCATTTTAGATCCCAGAAAGAACATATTAACCTTTAGTGAGAGTCTAGAAAACCACAGGAAAACAATTTGATGGTTATTTCTCCTAGTTTTTCTCCAGAATGTCTGATTATTTTACATGAATGCTCTAGTTCCTCAGAGTGAAAATGTGGAGAAGCTTTTTTCCTCCCACAAACAGCATGGCAGATAAATGAAGTTATTCACAGAGCGTCTTCAAAGTGCTCGATATGACTCAGTCATTAAAGCTTGCTTTTAGTTCTGGCTCGACTCTTTCTGAAGGAAGTGCAGCAAAGTGAGAAAACTGAGACAACTGAGAAAAGTGAGAAAACTGAGTTTGTTTGCAGCTCCAACTTTACACAAAAAACAAGTCTAAACCTCATTGGCTAAAAAACAACAGAAGCCTGTAAAACAACAAGAAATAAACTCTAGCTGCTTCAGTCTCTCTGAAATGTTTGCTCCAATATTCAGTGATAAAAAGTGAATGAGTGACGGTGAATAATAGATGATTGTACCTCGCTCTGCAGCTCAGTAACCTCTTTAACACGCCGCGTCTCCAAAGTTTCAGGCAGTTGGTGGTACAGAGAGCTGCTGGCCTCCTTCTTCCCTGCTTCCCTGTATTTAACCTGCAGGGAGAACATGAAACAGGGAGAATCACTCCATGTTCTCAGAGACAGGAACAAACAGATGAGAGCCGATCCAGCTGTAATCTCTGAAAGGACAAAGCAAACTCAGACGGTGAGGAGCAGAAGCTACCAGCAGCTCTGAAAGTGTCTCAGATAATGAGACCAGAATAGAAATCAGCAGCTAGTTTATCTACATGTTAACATGTTGGAGCGCCTCAGCAGCTTATTCTGTCCTTCATGATGTTTTACTGATGTTTCGATTTTAGATTTAGATCAAAAATGTTTCAGTTGTTTTTTTCTCACTGACTTGATGTGAAGCCAAAGATAAAGGCTTAGTTAAAACATTGTCCGTGTTTGAAAGCTGATTTATTTCATTCTGATATCTTGGAGTGGCATTCCTCTGGGCTTTCTAATGGGGCCTTTGTTTTTTGAGACATTTATCTGCATACTTTTACTTGAAGTACCTTGGAATTTAAGTTTTTTTTAAAGCAAGAGCATAAAAAAAAGTATATTTATTTCAGTCCTGTCACGGTCTTGGTTCTGTTTAAGTTTTTTTGGGGGTTTTCAGTTTCACTTTGATTCATGTTTTTCTTTGTTTTCTAGTTTCATTCATTTAATTCCTGTTTTTTGGTGTTTTCTGGATGTATTTGAGTTCTTAGGTATTTCTTTGGTTCCCTCTGTCGCCCTCTTGTGTTGGTCTCCTTTACCCCAGCTCCCTTCTAGAATTCTCTGTCCACACCTGCTCCCAATCAGCTCATTAGTCCT